ACGCCCAGGACACAAACCCTTGAAGCCTAAACCCTGTAGACCCTAAACCCCCAAAAGCCCTAAGCCCTAAAGACCCTTACAGCCTCAACCCTAAACCCTAAACCCTAAACTCTAAACCTTAAACCCTAAACCCTAAACCCTAAACCCCTCAAACCCCTCAAACCCCTAAAACCCCTAAAACCCCTAAAACCCCTAAAACCCCTAAAACCCTCAAAACCCTCAAACCCTAAACCTTCCTTGCAATGTGGAAAGGACTTCGCGGACCGAGTGATCCAAGAGCTTCCGCGTCTCAAGCTCTTGCTGGCGTCAGGCTCCTTTGGCTTTTGAGGTTCATGCTTGGGTTCTTCGGTTTTGGGTTTCATGTAGGTTTCGGGTTTCTTGGGGGTCTCAGGGTTTTGGGTGCGGTCAAAACTTATGATAAGAAAGGTTCGAAGGTCCACCAGAGTCTGGGACATTTCTTAACCAGGCAGATGTATTAAGAAAGGTAGATTTGAGGCGAGAGTCTTGAAAACATTTCTTATTCAACCTGACCAACCCTCCAGCCTTCCAGCCCTCCAGCCCTCCAGCCCTCCAGCCCTCCAGCCCCAAAGATTTTGGAGCAAGAAAGGATTCAGATTGACAGGTCTAGGACAGGGGCTGGAGGGCTGGAGGGCTGGAGGGCTGGAGGGCTGGAGGGCTGGAGGGCTGGAGGGCTGGAGGGCTGTGGAGGGCTGTGGAGGGCTGTGGAGGGCTGTGGAGGGCTGTGGAGGGCTGGAGGGCTGGAGGGCTGGAGGGCTGGAGGGCTGGAGGGCTGGAGGGCTGGAGGGCTGGAGGGCTGGAGGGCTGGAGGGCTGGAGGGCTGGAGGGCTGGAGGGCTGGAGGGCTGGAGGGCTGGAGGGCTGGAGGGCTGGAGGGCTGGAGGGCTGGAGGGCTGGAGGGCTGGAGGGCTGGAGGGCTGGAGGGCTGGAGGGCTGGAGGGCTGGAGGGCTGGAGGGCTGGAGGGCTGGAGGGCTGGAGGAGGGAGGGCTGGAGGGCTGGAGGGCTGGAGGGCTGGAGGGCTGGAGGGCTGGAGCCTTGCAAAAAGGCCATTCAATTTGTAATTACGTTTGGGTTGCGATTCAGACTCTGAATATACTTATTTTTCTCAATTCGAGAGTCTAATTTCTTGCTTCATAAAATTTCTTAACACAAAGTTCCACCGTGTTCAAGGTTCGAGGTTTTCAGGATTCTTTAGGTTGCTTCGGCGTCTTGGTTCGAGCTCCAAGAGAGCTAGTTATCTTCAAGCAAGATGCGTATCCCTATACAGTACAAAACCCTGGACCCTACATACAACCTGGGTTCGCCTCTGAAATCTAAAACCTGAACTTAGGGTTTAGGGCTTACTTAAGAGCCCTGAGCCCGACGCCCTGAACCTCAGGGCATAGTAACCCCAAACCCAAAAACTCGGGCACAATAAGTTCGCCACAAAGCCGATATTTCACCCCGCTGGACGGACTGAAGTCCCCCTGCCACACCCCGAACTTCCGAAAGGTTGTCAAAGAATCCGATAGGGGCTTTTTGGCAAAAAAAACCTTCCCAAAAGTAGGTTTGGCCCTATAAGCCTAAGTCCTAAACCCTAAACAGGTCTCCCTCCCCCAAGACCCTACGGTGCCCAGAAATGGGGGATTCTCTCAGTTATTTAGGGCTTAGTTGAGGGACTCCTAAACAAAAGGTTTCGAATGAGACAGGAACCTCAGATGGGTTCAGAGCTTTAGGGTTTCGGGTTTAGGGTTCATCGGTACGAACACTTGCGAACAACCGAGAAGCAATGGCTGACCTCCAAACCCTAAACCCTTATGTAACCCTAAATTTAAACCCCTAAACCCTAAACCCTAATCCCTAAACCCTAATCCCTAAACCCTAAACCTTAAACCCTAAACCCTAAACCTTAAACCCTAAACCCTAAACCCGAAACCCTAAACCCGAAACCCTAAACCCGAAACCTTAAACAATACACCCTAAACCCTACACTGCAGGTGGCTGAGAGTCTGAGTGCTGGGTGCTGCGACATTGCCTTCCCCTGCACCCCCCCCAGACTTGAGGGGTTGGGATACGGGTTTAGGGTTTAGGGTTTAGGGTTTAGGGTTTAGGGTTTAGGGTTTAGGGTTTAGGGTTTAGGGTTTAGGGTTTAGGGTTTAGGGTTTAGGGTTTGGCCTTGCTAGTATCCTCAAACAAAGACCGCCCATATCTACACCCGCCAAGCTTTATGACGAACTATATGTACACTCACCAACGGCAGCTAATGTAAACCCGACGTTTAATGTGGATGTTTGTGAGGAGGGCGTCTTTGCACTCGAGGGACGTCGGGCTTCAAGATGTTTACGTAAGTGCGGATGGGTGGGTGAACACTTACACACCCTAAGAATCCTAGACCATAGATCCGAACCCTAAACCAACACCTACAGCCTTGGTTGGCGTTCCCAAACCCTACCTCTTTCGAAAAAGACGTCTTTGTTTCTGCTTTGGGGCTTGGGGCGTGCCAGCTTGGAGCACTTAGGGATTAGGACTTTTCGGGTGCAGGAGTGTTAGGGTTTAGGATTGTTTGGAGTATTTTCGGGTTTAGGACTCTTGGGGTTTAGGAGGCTTAGGGTTTAAGATGTTTTCGGGTTTAGGATCCTTTTTGGGTTCAGGGTTTTTAGTCTAGGACCTTTACGGGTGTAGTTTTCGCTTTTGTTGGTTTAAGCTTGACTTTCATGGTTGAGGGGTAGTAGGGCGAGAGTGTTCCCTCTGAGCCTGAGGAGCCTGAGGAGGATTTAGGGTTTCGGATTTAGGGTTTAGGGTTTCGGGTTTAGGGTCTAGGGTTCCAAGAGGTGCGTCTCGTGGAGTTCAGGGTTCAGGGGTTAGGGTTCACGTGCTAAGCCCCTGCCTCAGAGTACCCCTAACCCCGGAAACCCCAAACCCTAGAACCCGCAATGTGCCGGCTGTTAACGAACCTGAGAGCAGCGTGCTCTCATGTGAGCCCCTGTGGAAGCCTTGGGTGCTTGTCATTGGGCATTTCCCCAGGTAGGGTTTAAGATTTGGGGCTGAGGGTCATCACCCTCAATCAGCCCCCGGGCGATGCGAGAATCCTTATTCTGGAAACCCCCCAAGTTGCGGGATGTCTCCTAGCAGCCCTTCATAGGGATTATAGTACCCACTACTAGCGCAGCATCCCCAAACTAAACCCTAAACCCTAAACCCTAAACCCTAAACCCTAAACCCTAAACCCTAAACCCTAAACCCTAAACCCTAAACCCTAAACCCTAAACCCTAAACCCTAAACCCTAAACCCTAAACCCTAAACCCTAAACCCTAAACCTAACCCTAAACCCTAAACCCTAAACCCTAAACCCTAAACCCTAAACCCTAAACCCTAAACCCTAAACCCTAAACCCTAAACCCTAAACCCTAAACCAGCCTGCGTTTGTTCGCTGTGCACTTGGCGACAGGGGCTCATGGTCGACATCTGGGGGTTGAGCATGCCCGTCTGCAAGCGGGGGCTGGAATGTCTGTCAAACCCCGAGGCTCAGAAGCCCTAAACCCCAAACCCTAAACCCTAAACCCTAAACCCTAAACCCTAAACCCTAAACCCTAAACCCTAAACCCCTAAACCCCTAAACCCCTAAACCCTAAACCCTAAACCCTAAACCCTAAACCCAAAACCCTAAAATCCCTAAACCCTAAACCCTAAACCCTAAACCCTAAACCCAAAACCCAAAACCCAAAAATCCATAATCCCTGAATCCTGAACCCTGAACCCGAAACCATAGCATGGTCCTTGGGGCTCCAAAACCTTAGGGGAAGTACTTTCGGCCTTGAGCCGAGGGTTGTAGAGCACCTCTTGTTTTTGCAGCAATGTGTGTATGGTTTAGAGTTTAGGGTTTAGGGTTTAGAGTTTAGGGTTAGAGTTTAGGGTTTAGGGTTTAGGGTTTAGGGTTTAGGGTTTAGGGTTTAGGGCTACTCCGGATATACGTGATCTACGGCGGCTTGCCCTTAAGGAAGTTTGCCCGGGATCTCCTCAAATCCGAGGCTTCAGGTATGCCCGAGGCTCGCCCGGGCTCTCCTCAAAAACCCGAGGCTTCGCCCAGATTAATGCCCGACACTTGCCCGGGCTCTCCTCAAAACTCGAGGCTTCGCCAGGGTTAATGCTCGAGGCTTGCCCGGGCTCTCCTGAAAAACCCGAGGTTAATGCCCGAGGCTTGCCCGGGCTCTCCTCAAAAACCCGAGGCTTCGCCCGCGGCTTGGCCCGTGCTCGCCCGGCTCTCTTCAACTCTCCCGGGTTGACGATCCAATCTTTGTTACGGGTGTCATGTCAGTATGCTCACTCTTCTTCTTCCGCTTGTCCTCACTTGTGATGCTTTTGGCCCACTGACATCTTGAGCAATCATCTTGTGGCCCAGCCTATGGTATCATGTCGCTCCATCGTCATGGTAAGATTCTTGGCTCTTCGCACCCCTAACCTCCCATGCTGAATGATAAGCAGCCATCGGAATAAGAAATGGGCTTACATACAGTAGTACGAAGATGCAATGGTCATGACCATTTCAAAAACATTCGTGGGTGATGGTAGTAGCTGTACTTCTGAAATCAAGAAACGACCATGCTGAAGAAGCCCTGAGCTCGACCCTCGGACTTGATTCTCACCTATCGACCTGGGGCGTGGTCGGTGGAGAGTTTGAAAAATTGGCCCCGAGCTCAGAAGCGGCATGCTTCGTACGTGTTCTTAGGTTAGCCTTGGGGGGCTTGTTTTTTGCGAATTGAATCCCCAACACAACGGGTTCGGGATTCAAGGCTTCAGTGTTTTTATTGTGTTTTTGGGACTTAGCATTTAGGATTTAGGGTTTAGGGTTTAGACTTTAGCCTTGCGGGCTTAGGGTTTAGGATTTCGTTGAGGGCTTGTGGTTTAGAGAGAGAATGTGCGATGGGTGTTGGCTCAAAGTTCCAGCGCACTCGCCAGATATACGATCGCCCAATTCCCAGCTTCACAAGAAGGCTTGGACGCCATGGTGAAGGCAGGAGTTGTTTAGGGTTTAGGGTTTAGGGTTTAGGGTTTAGGGCTTAGGGCTTAGGGCTTAGGGTTTAGGGGAATAATTTCTAATAATATTCCGTTAGGGTCCCGCTATAATTATACTACAATAACCCCCCCAACCCTGTTCTAAGTATTAAGGCTCCTACAGTACAGGGTTCTCGGTAGGCCTTTGGGATATTGTAAATCTTCCCTTACTGGGTTTCAGAAAATCATATCCAGGTTTTTTTTTTCAGATGGCTTTAGGGGCCATCTCAGGGTTTAGGGTTTAGGGTTTAGGGTTTAGGGTTTAGGGTTTTTAGAGTCGCATGTTTTGGGACGGGGGCGCACGATCCGGATTTCCCAAGGGAGTTTGGACTGGGTTGGGTCAGGATTTGGGGTTTGTCTCCGAACTAAGAAAAAACCACGGAAAACCCTATAAGCCCCAAACCCCAAACGTTTAGGGTTTCGAGTTCTTCATTTGCAGGTCCTCTGCGTGCTCTACGAAGATCCCGCGGGCGGCTGCCTGACAGCAGTCGGTCTGCGAGACGCGGGGGTTTGGGTTGCAGCGGTGTTCACATGCCAGGTTTCAGGGTTTTATCCACAACGCTGCTAAGCTGCTAAACAGAGGTTTAAGGATCAGTGTACCCTAAATCCGAAGCCCTAAACTTACCCTGAATCTTAAACCCGAAACCCTTAAACCCCAAAGCTTCTGCTGGTGTCCATGTGTTGTTGGCTTCTTTGGGCCGCGCAGGCTATCCGACCACCTACTCTCGCGACGACATCCCCATGATCAAGACGTATCCAGGCCCGGGGGGGGAGGGGGTTTAGGGTTCAGGATTTAGGGTTTTTTAGAATTGAAGGTTTCGGGTTTAGGGTGATCAAGCCTAAACCAACGTTCAGATCAACCCACTCCAATGAGGGCTCCAAAACTCCAGATCGCGTTCTAAGGCCCCCATGCAAGCCCAACGCAAACTCCAAAAACCCTGCGCCCTGAATCCTAAACCCTAAACCCTAAACCCTGAACCCTGAACCCTGAACCCTGAACCTTGAACCTTAAAGCCTGAACGCTATCCTTAAAGTCCATGAAGGTGGTCAGAGCGCGCCGACGCCCTCTGCTGTGGACTTCACTCCTGGGCAGCTTCTAGGATCAGTGCCCCGGAGAGAAGTGACGTGGGAGCCGGTTGGGTTCGGGGTTGCAATGGGTTTAGGGTTTAGGGTTTAGGGTTTGGGGTTTAGGGTTTAGGGTTTAGGGTTTGGGGTTTAGGGTGTGTAATTAGGGTGTTTAGGGTTTAAGGTAACAGTCGAGAAAGCAGAAGCCAGGTCCCCCGAAATCAGCTGCTAAGAAGACGGTCTGTAGAACTACTTGCACTTGGAGGTTCAGGGTAGGTTATAAGTAGACTCATAATAGGGGTTATAAATACCCATGAAGCTCCAAGTCGTATTCCCTCATGGGCCCTTTATATAAAGTACACTTTATAATATCCTAATAACCCCGTTCTGACTAAACTACGTGCGCTGGCCCAAATAGGGCCAGACATCTGACGCCCTAGACTTGTGCAGAACAGATTGCATGAACCATCATGAGAGTGCAGCAAGTATGTGGCAGTTCTACAAACCCTAGACCCTAGACCCTACAGCCTAAACCCTTTAATTTCAAAAGGACGTTTACCAAGCAATTCAAACCTCGCTGCCCTACCCCCGCGCGTTTCTGAGGTCTTGGACTTGCAGACTAGAGTGCATGAGCGGTCTTGAAATAGCAGCAGGTATCCCTAAAACCTAAACCTAAAGACCCTAGCAAGATAAACCCTAAAAACCCCAAGCCCTAAAAACCCTAAAGCCCAAACCCTCAACACCCTCAAAACCCTAAAGCCCAAGCCCTCCATTCCCCCCTAAACCCTAAACCCTAAACCCTAAACCCTAAACCCTAAACCCTAAACCCTAAACCCTAAACCCTAAACCCTAAACCCTAAACCCTAAACCCTAAACCCTAAACCCTCAAGCGAGAAGCAGTCCCCAGGTCTCGGGCGGCCTGGGTTTGGGCGAATTTCTGGCAGCAGCCGGGCACCAGCCCCCCGGGCCGAAGCCACAAGCGGGGGTAGGGTTTGGGGTTTAGGGTTTAGGGTTTAGGGTTTAGGGTTTAGGGTTTAGGGTTTAGGGTTTAGGGTTTAGTGTTTAGGGTTTAGGGTTTAGGGTTTAGGGTTTAGGGTTTAGGGTTTAGGGTTTAGGGTTTAGGGTTTAGGGTTTATAAGGTTATAGGGTCTCTAGGGTTTGTGTGGACTTGAGGGCTTCAAGTTTTTGCGTTGAGCTTCAGAGTCTGAGAGTGCAAAGCCTTGCGGAGTGCACACGAAGGCTGGCCAATCTGGGCTGCGTCCGCTTTGGTACTGTAGCCCAGGGTGCCACTTTGGCCCCATTTTTTGGGGTTCTAGGTCCGTTCTCTTATAGAGTAGCCAACCCCAAAAAATTTAAAACGAGGTGCCCTTACCCTAAACCCTAAACCCTAAACCCTAAACCCTAAACCCTAAACCCTAAACCCTAAACCCTAAACCCTAAACCCTAAACCCTAAACCCTAAACCCTAAACCCTAAACCCTAAACCCTAAACCCTAAACCCTAAACCCTAAACCCTAACCCCTAAACCTAAACCCTAAACCCTAAACCCTAAACCCTAAACCCTAAACCCTAAACCCTAAACCCTAAACCCTAAACCCTAAACCCTAAACCCTAAACCCTAAACCCTAAACGGTTGCTGGGCCAGCAAGTCGGTTGTAGGCTGGAGGCATGGCGGCACCATTCCTCAGAGGCTTTTTTGGGCAGTTCAAGGAGCCCTGTGTGCAACTCTTGCAGCTGTTTTGGGAGGAACTTCGATGGATTAGGGTTTAGGGTTTGGGGTTTAGGGTTTAGGGTTTCGGGTTTAGGGTTTAGGGCGTGGCGTCGTGTCTATGGTCGTCTGCTTCCGAGGTTTGTCGTCACGTCCTCCAAAGACGGGCCCGACTCGGTCTTTGAGAAGGAGCTTCCAGACGCAGATGTGGCAAGCTGGCTTCCGACTTAGTCATGAGTTCCTACCTCCCCACCCCCCGCACCCCCCAATATCTTCCCCCCCCCCCCCCCCCCACCAGGTCCCCCCTAGGTTCACTCCTTACATAACCTAACTTTGGCCTAATTATCCCCAAATAGCCTTAATTATGGTGCCCCTCTAGGTTCCGCCGTAGTTAAGGCTATTTAGGGATAATTAAGGCTAATTCCGGCTATTTAAGGGAAACCCATGAACTTACGGTTTGAAAGCCCCAGGACCCTTTAACTTAAGGGAAGAAATTACCAGAACCCTAAGCCATTAAGCCTAAAACCCACACCTGGCCACACCCCCCAACTGAACCCCAAACATAGTCCTGAAAACCCTGGTGCCCTCAACTTCAGCACAGAAAAACGAAACCCTGCTGCCCCAAGCCCGAAACCCTAAACCCCAATCCCTGATCTCGGAAAACCCAGGCATTCTAAACCCAAAAAAGCCTTAAAATCAGAAGCCTCTGAACCCTCCAAGTTTCCATGGGCACGCCAACAGCTCAACCAACCTCGCGTCCCATTTCCATTCCCAAAACCCTAAACCCCCCAAGGTAATCTCGCAGCCTTTCTGGCCGGCTTACATGAGTGCCGAGCGCTTTGAGAAGGCTTTGGGGCACTTCACCCTTCAACCCTCAACCCCAAACCAGAGTTCCCTGGGGCTTAGGTTTTGGAGTTTAGGGTATAAGGTTTAGGGCCCTAAACCCCAGACCCTAAACCCTGTTTGGAGGGAAAGAACAAGTTACGCAGCACCAAGTTCCTCTTCCAGCATGGCCTGGGCGAGGAATCTGTAGTCGTGACAGGCGGCACCTAGCTTGACAGAGGGGAGTCACCGCTCCAAACTAGGACCCCTTGAAGGTCGCAGCGACTTGCAGGCGCACAGCGACTAAAAGCCTGAAGGTCACGCAATCTTAGGGTACAGCGAGTCACAAGGACTCCTCCGAAGAGCAAGCCCCCCACCACCCACAGTAGAAACCCCCACCGTTTAGGGTTTCGGGGTTGCGCCGCGTTTCCCAAAGCCCCATTGCCTTCGGGACTGGGTAGGTAACCTTAATACCTTTTTGGTTGTATAGAATGCTACGATATGTAAAAGGTTAACTTTGCGCTAGGGTATTCAGCCCCTAAGATGCTGTAAAGTTCTGAAGAAGCCACTGACGGCTTTCGCGAGGCCTCGGCAAGGAGGTTCTAGGGCCTTAGGGTTTAGGGTTTAGGGTTTAGGGTTTAGGGTGTAGGGTTTAGGGTTTAGGGTTTAGGGTCCAGGGTTTAGGGTTTAGCGAGGCTCTAGGGTTTATCACCCTGAGTAGGGAATTCGGAGTGTGCGGGTCCCTATACCCGTCCCTGAACGGGTTACATGGGGGATAGGATGCCTAGTTCCCTCATTCCCTACAAAAAACCCGGTCAGGATTGTACCGCTCCCAAACCCTAAACCCTAAACCCTAAACCATGGGGTCAACTTCTCCCTTCAACATGAACCACGAAGACGGATGTGGTTGACAGATGGAAAAGCCTGATCCGAACACTCCTCCCTAACAGCCCCGATACCCCTGAATTTAGGGTGGGTTTAGGGTTTAGGGGTTTGGGTTTAGGGTTAGGTATAGACCCTCAAATCATATGAGGATCCGTCTTATGATTCAAGGTGTTGTTTCTTGAACTAAGGGGTATTGGGGCTCTCTGCTTGTTGGAGGCGAAGAAGTTGAAGCTGTGCATCACTGCTGGCATCCTGACGAGTCATATAGCTTTAGGGGCCTAGCATACCTAGTAGCTGAGTGAGCGCACTTTAGACTTTTTGGGATACTGAAAGTGTTGTTTTTTTGGGGGCTTATGAACTCAGCAACTAAGCATAGGTTATTCGACTTAGTTGGGTCAGGGTCTGAGCCCGGGATCTGGGTTTGCCTTGTGGCTAGTCCTTTCTGAGCGCAAAAAGATCTTGTCACTACATCGGTTTCGGCTTGATGCGCAAGCGAGTCCTACACACGCCCTTTGCAGAAGCCCCTTAGCTCTAAACCCAAGACCCTAAACCCCTAGAGCCAAGACCCTAAACCCCAAACCCCAAACCCTAAACCGTAAACCCCAAACCCCAAACCAAGAACCCCAAACCCCAAACCCTAAAGCCCAAACCCCAAACCCTAAACCCCAAACCCTAAACCACAAACCCCAAACCAAACACCCCAAACCCCAAACCCTAAAGCCCAAACCCCAAACCCTAACAGCAACCTTTCCGCCAAGGCATTGGCTCGGACCACGTTGACTTGGCGGCAGCCTGCCGCCACGGCGTCACTGTGGCCGAGGTGAAGCTCCGCTCGGTGTGGAAAGGGGGTTTCCGGGCGTAGGGCCCAGGATTTAGGGCCTAGGGTTTAGGGTTAGGGTTTAGGGTTTACGGGTTTACGGGTTTACGGGTTTACGGGTTTACGGGTTTACGGGTTTACGGGTTTACGGGTTTACGGGTTTACGGGTTTACAGGTTTACGGGTTTACGGGTTTACGGGTTTACGGGTTTACGGGTTTACGGGTTAGGGTTTAGGGCTTCGGGACAAGTTTTCGGCCTTCAGGGTTTAGGTGGCTTTTGGTGTCCAGGGTTTCAGTGATTGTTTGCGTTTGGGGCTGGGGTTCAAGCGCTACAAGCCTGAAACGCCCTCGCTGGGGGTTTCGAATGGTTTTAGTGTTCAGGCCCAAATGCTGCAATCCGCCGTTTGAACTGAAACCCTCCAGCTTAGAATACCCTAAATAGAAACCCTGAACCCTCCGCCCTACCCGAAACCTTCCCTTTGCGAACCTAGCCAACAAACTGATTGGATGTTTGGTTTCTGGATGTTTCCCGGTTCGTTAGCGGAGGAAGAGGCCGAATCTTGGAAAGTAAAGTGTTGCCAGGTGACTTTCTGCAACTCCATCTCGGTGGCAGAGCATGTGGCACCCTGGCTATGTCACCCTAAACCCGGGAACCCTGAACCCAACAAACTAAGCCCGACCACAGGAGGGTTTAGGGTTAGGTCCAGGGATTGGAAAAGTGCCCAGGGGAACCTCCAAGTGACCCCCATTCAAAGGATACTCATACGCACGGGTACGCCCACAAAAAGGGCTACCCCTAAACAGAACAAGATATCCTTGTTGCTATAGGGACCGCCAAAACGGGAATCCCTATTTTCGGAAGCCCTCCCGTCTGGTCCCTAGTCCGGTACCTTACACCTTTCTTCGAAGGCTCTGAAGCTTGGGCATTGGGTTTCTACAGGTTCTCGATGGGGTCATCCACTGTAGCTCCCCCAAGACTGATCCTCAACCTGAAAACCAAGACCCTGACACCCTGAACCCCTAAACCCCGAAACACCTCAACCCTAAGCCCCTAAACCCCTTGCCACGAATTTCTTAAGAACCCCTAAACATTGTTTTGTTTCTTTAAGAGTTCTTCCTTGTAAGGGCAGTATAAAGGATTATTGTTTTTTATGTTTTGGGGTTTCTTGGGCAAATAGTAGCTCACCCGCGCAATCTTACCCCCCCGAGGTGATGCTGATCCTACACCCTCAACCCCTAAACCCCTAAGCCCCGAAGCACCTCACCTAGAACCCCTTAACCTTTATCCCCCCTAAACCCCCTAAACCTCGAAACACCCTACCTAAAACCCCCCTTAACCCCTCAACCCTACGCCCCTAAACCCTAAACCCTCAAGCCTCAACCCTCAACCCTAAACCCTCAACCCTCAACCCTCAACCCTCAACCCTCAACCCTCAACCCTCAACCCTCAACCCTAAACCCTAAACCCTAAACCCTAAACCCTAAACCCTAAACCCTAAACCCTAAACCCTAAACCCTAAACCCTAAACCCTAAACCCTAAACCCTAAACCCTAAACCAAGCCCCCGAGGTGATGCTCATCCTCAACCTGGTCCGAAACTTCGTGCCCTCGCACGCCATCGCGGAGGCTGGTGGCTGGCACATCGCCGACTGCGTCGCCAAAGCCTACGACGTGGAAGGCGGGGTTCAGGGTTTGGGGTGTAGGGTTTAGGGTTTAGGGTTTAGGGTTTAGGGTTTAGGGTTTAGGGTTTAGGGTTTAGGGTTTAGGGTTCACCTAATGGTAAACTCCAGAAAGTTGGAACATGGTTTAAGGATGGGTAGAGCTGGGATTCCCTTGTATGCCATGGGCATAAGATGGGATAAGGGTGTTCCAACTCCAACTTTGTGGAGTTTACTATAAGAACCCAAAGCCTTTTTTGCAGGCTATTGCTGCAAAGCCACTTTTTAGGATTCCTAGGTGTCCCACAAAACAGGTGTTGGGTTCTTAATTTGTGGGCTGTAGAGCTCTAGCCAGGGGCTTAAGGCATTGGAAGGTTGAGGCTTTAGGGGGTAGACCCTAAACCCTAAAGCCCAAACCCGAAAATCGTCAACGGGGTTGTGGAGTTTTGGGCGTCGGCGCTATCAGGGGTTTAAGCAATTTGTGGGCTTGGGGTTGAAGCGCTTTGCGGGTTTATTGCTTTGGGGGGTTAGGAAATTAGCTTGGGGGTTTCCGGGGCATTAGGAGAATCGAGTGGTGTTCGCCCTTTGCTTTGTCTTTTTAGCCGCGGCTAGGGGTAGCCTTCCCCTGAAAGGGTGAGAGTGTTGAGAAGGGTTTGGGGTTGTAGTTGGGTTTATGATGCATGCAGCAGGCAGTCTTGCAATCTACCTTGGAGACAGGCTACGTCAAAATGCATTAGGATTTAGGGTCAGAGTATATAAGATTGAGGCGGAGCTCAAGGAAGCTTCTGAGTCTTAAGGTTGCCTTTTCATCCCAAGGTTACGTCGACCTAAACACCCCGAAACCGAAAGCCCAAAACCCTTCATTCAGAAGGACAGCCATCATGCAGATGCTGGTGTCAGGGGACTGCTGTATCCTAGTGAGTGTCAGAGAGAGAGAGAGAGAGAGAGAGAGAGAGAGAGAGAGAGAGAGAGAGAGCGAGAGTAAATAATTTGTATGCCCGGGAGGCGGCAAAAGACCCCCCCCCCCTCCGGATGCAAACCTATCTATCTGTCTATCTCCAAACCATAAAGACAAAACTTTCGCCCAACACTTTCGCCCAAAACTTCGGACACAAACCCTATGCACTTTCTATAACCTCTAAGCCAAGTGTGTGTCATCTCAGTAAAAATGCTCCCTTCCAGGCCCTTGAGAAGACCCGTTGTCCCCCTGAACATCCCGAACCCCTAAACCAAGGCCCGAAGCCTCTAAATCCTAAACATCCTGAATACCTAATGCGTGAACCCTCATTATAAGGGTCTAGGGTTCAGGGTTCAGGGTTTAGGGCTTAGGGTTTAGGGTTTAGGGTTGCCGACCCAACCCTAGAATCGGGAAGCGCTTTAACCCAGACCTCACCTGGAGGCATGCACGTCGGGACAGTGGCCGCTGGTCGGATCGGCTTGGCAGTTCTGCGGAGGCACGTGAGTTTCGGGTTTAGGGTTGAGGGTTTAGGGTTTAGGGTTTAGTAGGTTTAGGGTTTAGGGTTCGGGATTGAGCACATACTGCTGTGTACTCTAGTACAGGGCTTATGGGATTTTACGTCGGGTGTTAGAGTTTGAAAAGTGCTTGCGTTTTTCGTATCAAGGCCCCAGGCCCAAGTGGTGGCACAAATACTTTGTAGACCGCCAAGAACGTTCCCAGGTGTTCAGGACACTGGGTTTCGGGTTTAGGAAGGGTTTAGAGGTTGGGGGCTGAAAGTTTGGGGATGGGAGTTCTTCAGGGCTGATGATCCAAAACCCCCCAAGCTCTGAGAAGGCTAAGACGTAAGCCAGGCAGTGAGTGAGCCAAGAAGTACTGACCCTCAAGCCTCCTCCGGAGCCTCATATTTTGAGTATGCAAATCCCTAAACTTAATCCCTAAGCTCAAAAGCAGAGATCTGGCTCCCTGATGAGGCTCAAGGCTTTCGACACAGTCCTCCACTACTACGACAAGCATCGGCTGCCCGAAAGCGCCGTTCGGCAGCGACGAGCTGGGTCTTGTCGATTGGGTTTCGGATTTAGGGTTTAGGGTTTGGGGTTTGGGGTTTAGGGTTTAGGGTGTAGAGTGGTTTGATGAGTTTTTTTTTGGGCGGGGGGGGGGGGGGGGGGGGGGGCGGGCAAGCTTCAATTGCGGATGGCAGGCTCCTTGTGGTCGAGGGAGCGAACGCTGTAGATTAGGTTTTTGCGGGTTTAGGGTTTAGGGTTTAGGGTTTTGGGTTTAGGGTTTAGGGTTTTGGGGTTTAGGGATCACGACTCGAGGTCGAGAGGGAGCTCAACCTGACTTACCACGACTCCGTGCAGTCGCTTGTGAAGGCACATGGCTGGTGGCCGTGGATGGGGGGACCCTAGCCCGAAGCCCTAAACCCTAAACCCTGAACCCTAGCCCTAAACCCTAAACCCTAAGCCCTAAACCCTAAACGAAATAATCTGACGGGTCATGGCGGCGGGGTGATGCAGAAAATGCTGGGTGCTAGCACCGAAGGGAGCAACCTATATATCTGTGTAAGCGACCATACGCATCAGTACCAAACCAGACACCAGCTGCTTTCATTCTGGAGCGAATATCCATCTTTTTTCAAGGAGTCTCATCCTCACAGGCTTGTTGGCTGTCACTTGTCGGGAGCTTGCGACTCAAGATGTTGCTACATCATCGACCTGGAGAACCGTTTATATTAGCTGCTTTCACCTGCTTTCTCCTCGTGGAATGAGGACGATTCCCCCTAAAAGGGCTTTGAAAATGCGTGTAGGCCTTGGCAATCCTCAAACCCCAAACCATAGAGCCCAGCCCTAAACCCTAAACCCTAGACCCTAAGCCCTCAACCCTAAACCCCACAGGCGTGTGACGTCGTGACCATCAACTGCCCTCTTCATCCAGAAACGGAGCAGCCTGGCCTGATTCCTGAGCCTTGCAACACTTTAGGGTTTAGGGTTTAGGGTTTTAGGGTTTTAGGGTTTTAGGGTTTTAGGGTTTTAGGGTTTTAGGGTTTTAGGGTTTTAGGGTTTTAGGGTTTTAGGGTTTTAGGGTTTTAGGGTTTTATGGTTTTAGGGTTTTAGGGTTTTAGGGTTTTAGGGTTTTAGGGTTTTAGGGTTTTAGGGTTTTTGGGTTTTTGGGTTTTTGGGTTTTTGGGTTTTTGGGTTTTAGGGTTTTAGGGTGTCGGGCTAGGCCTTCTTGGGGCACTTCTCTATGTTGTGGTGCCCTTGTTTTGGTTGCCCTAATTCTTTGTGCCCGTGCGAGAATGCGACCCTAGTTTGGCAACCTGTCTCCTCGGAAGGTGCCTGGGGATTGGGGGTCTGACCCTAAATCCTAAGCCCAAAGCCCTAAACCGTTCACCCTAAACGCTGAACCCAAAAAACCAATTAGGCACTTTGCGAAGGGGGGGAGGGGGGGGGGGGGGGGGCGGGGTTTGGAGCCTTCATCGTGATGCTTATGGCTCTTTTCCCCAACTGAAGGTTTATATATAGGGTCGGTACCACAAATTTGAGGCATAGGCATGCATTCCTTCTTCAAGGGGTATAGTGGGCGCTTGCCTTCTGCGCTCCTCGGCCAATGACGACCTACCAAAAGGTTAGCTTTTCTTTCTGCAGGGAAAAAGACCTGAGCGGATCAAGGCAGACCCCTGACGTTCACCTGATGTTCACCAATAACAGCAATATAACGGGGAACTGAGTTCTAGACCATCAGGGGTGCATATCGTAGCTGAGCTGAGATTGCGGGGCTGTTTTGGAGTTTAGGGTGTTGGCTTTTGTTGCTGTAGTATGTTGATTACGGTGTGGTGTTCCGAGGCAGAGCCCATAATTGATGCAAATGTCAAGGTTTCCTATGTTTTTGGTGGACGGGCTCCTGAGCCCAAGTAGCTGAAATTAGGTTTCCTCCCCCTGCCTAGCAAGGCACCTCTCAACGAGGAGATGATCTACTCGATGAAGCGCGGCGCGTACCTGATCAACACGGCCCGAGGTAAGATCTGCGACGCAAAAGCAGTCCAGAAAGCCTGCGAGGCCGGCGGGGTCCCTGTGAATGGGGTCTAGACATTTCCAAATCCGGTATTCAAAACTGTGGTTCATGTTCTAGGGGTTCTCCTTTGTGAATTCCAGGGGCAATAACATTGCGCCACGTCTTTGTGCAGAATCGTCCGCTGGACGGGTTGGCATGTGCTTCGAGCGCATGCCAAGATCAGACCATACCGAACCCATGCCGAAAGCAGCACATTCAACAATCAAAACATAAGAGGCGCCGAGACCACGTCATCGGAGCCCACTTTAAGGTTCATGGGTAGGTCAAAGTAGGGTTAGATGTATGGGAACTATGCTTATAACCCTATTCAGGGTACATATAACCCGACTTAGAACTACCCATGAATAAACCTTCAAGTAGAAACTGTTGCACCTCATCACCAACTGTGTTTGGGGCACTCGGTCTTTCCAGCACTGCAGGAAAAGCCTTGAAACCCAAGCCTTATCCACCTCCAACCCCAAACCTAAACCCCAGACCCTAAACCTCAAAACCTTTACCCCAATTCCCACCACGAGGAGGGACATTTGGCCGGATACGCCGGCGACGTTTGGTTCCCCCAGCCAGCGCCTTCGGACCACCCCTGGCGCGGAATGAAGGCCTTCCGACCCCAGCCCCGCACCCTAAATACTTGGGGGTGCTGGGGAATTTCTAATTGTTGGGCACTTTTAATTCATAGAAACAGCTAAAGTCATGATTTTTGCTAGGGTTCCAATCTCAGTATAGGCACCCTAAAGGGATTCCTTAGTGAGGGTTTTGGGGGGTAGAGCTGAGGGTTTAGGGTTCATGGCTTAGGGTTTCGGATCTAGGGAGCTGAGCAACTGCCAACTCAGTTGTGCCCGGCAGCTCCTGTATCTTCTCAGGTTCCTTCAAGGGCTTAGGGTTTAGGGTTTAGGGTTTCGGGGTTAGGGTTGAGGGTTCGGGGTTTAGGGTCCTCTCCTATATAGGACACCCAGTGGGCCTTCACTCCCTTGTTTGTAGGTATCGTTTCCTAACTTGGTAGCCCAGTGGTACCCTTTTCCCTTGCTTTGGTTCAAGGTTCCCTTACAAGTAAACAGAAAGGGGTACCCTTGTCATATGGTTACTGGGCTACTAAGCTGAAGCATGAAGCCACACACCACAAGAAGATCCCCATCCAGGGCAAGAGCTCATTGCCTCAAACCTTAAATTTCCAAGTGCGAAGCCCACAGCCCTGTTGCCCCAACTCTATATCTAGAACCCGGGGGCCCTTTTTAAACCCTAAACCCTAAACCCTAAACCCTAAACCCTAAACCCCTAAAAAACCCTGGGGTCTAGGTTCCCTTATCCTTTGTTCCAAGGTTAGTTACTCTTGGGTCCCTAGACCCTAAACCCTAAACCCTAAACCCCAACCCCAAACAAAAAAACGCCCAATCTCCCGACTGGGGGTTGAGGGGTTTAGGGGTTTAGGGGTTTACGGGTTTAGGGTTTAGGGTTTTAGGTTTAGGGTTTAGGGTTTAGGGTTTAGGGGTTTAGGGGTTTACGGGCTTACGGGCTTACGGGCTTAGGGTTTAGGGTCATAAAGCCGCAAAAAGGCTGAACCCCCCCCCCCCCCCCTGCCTACACAGCCCCAGAGCAGGGAAGAAACTACAGGTCCAGCGATGACAGCTCTTAAGTAAGTTCAAAGGGATATTCGGAATCCTTACCATCAGTCGGGCATTTCCCAAAAGTGGGGATACCCCTTGCCATATCCTAACATACCAGAAACCCTGATGATAGGAAACCCCCCCATTGACGCGGTACATTCCGTAATTAAGGGGTGTTGGTCCTAAAACCCGAGACCCTAAACCCCAAGCCCCATGGGCTGCAGGCCAATGCGATGACACCCCACGTCTCCGGAACGACTCTCTCAGCCCAGGCAAAAGGGGTTCGAGTTTCACCTGGAACCCCCCTGTACAGTTTGAGGTGGGGTTGTTTGGGGTTTAGGGTTGAGACCTGGAAGCCCCCTATACAGTTTTTTGGGGTTGAGGGTTGCGGTTTGGCGGTTTGTGGTTGAGGGTTGAGGCTTTTGGGCTTTGGTTTGGGTGTCTGAGGCTGAGAGCAGCACTTCAATCACAGCAGTCCTCCTCCGCAACACACCTACACCCTCAACCCTTCGGAGAATTCATGTTTTCCTGTATTGGGTTTAAGAGGGCCATACGCAGGAACATTTTTCACAGGGTGCTCATGGCCAACCTAAACGGAGTGATGCGTGCAGGACTCGTAGCCTGTTGCCAGCCTCCAGCTCTGCGTATGGACACCCGGTAGCACCCTTATTCCTTTTCTTGGGCTTTAGGATCCACCCCTTTCACCCTTCACTCGCGACTCCACGAAAAACCCTATTAAAATATATTAAATTATAAGGCACGCATGAATTTAATATGTTTTAACCGGCGCCAAAAGGGTACCCTTCCTAAGATACTGGGCATCCTGGCGTCTGCTTCCAGCTGAAGACCCCAGCGGGACGCATTAAAACTCGCACGCTGGAATTCAAAACTCTAAGAGCAGCCAAAAAAAGGAGAAGCCATCGCCTCATCCCCTGGTTAAAAGAGCAGAATGCAGGGATTGCTATACCCCTAAGCCCTAAGCCCTAAACCCTAAACCCTAGAGCCACTGCAGGCGCGCTACGCGGCGGGTGTACGCGAAATCCTGGACCTGGTTTTTGGGCTTCGGGTTGAGGGCCTAAACCCTGAACCCTAAACCAGAAACCCTAAACCCTGAACCCTAGGTTTTGCGGCTCAAGGGGGAATGTCAGGGGTTTAGGGTTGAGGGTGTATGAGTTCAGGATCGAAGTGGTGAGAAGCTGTTAGGGTTTAGGGTTTAGGGTTTAGGGTTTAGGGTTTAGGGTTTTAGGGTTTTAGGGTTTAGGGTTTAGGGTTTAGGGTTTAGGGTTTAGGGTTTAGGGTTTAGGGTTTAGGGTTTAGGGTTCGCCAGCGCAGCTGGTGACCCAGGCAAATTTGTGCGGGATCACTCGCTGGGGGTCCAAGCCCCTCCATCAACCAACCCAAAACAATAAGATTTTTCCACACTCGGCTTTGACTTCCGGGCGCCTTCAAAACAAGGTCATTTCCAAGCCCGTTTTGCAACCCCGAGGCCTGGGAAACTTGACCGCTCTTGGTCATCAGAAACCCGCCGGGACTGAAGATAAGCAAAATTGTTTACAAAACGACTTGCACAAACAAGTTCGTTGTTCCCTGTTTTGTTTCTCTTGCCTCCCGGACACCCCCCCGCAAGAGCCATTGCAGCTCCTGAAGTCTTTGAAAAACACTCTACAGACCTTTTAGAAACATCTAAAATCCCAAGACTCTTTGAAAAACCTTTCAAAAACCTGTAATTTAAACCTCAACAAAACTCAGGCTTAGATTTTCTTGGTGTCTTTTAAACGGAAGTTTGCGATAATCATGTTCTTTTCATTAACCTTGAAGATGTATACGCGAATACCAATGATACATCATATGAGAGCAAGATCATACCATTGATCGCTGAGATTTGTAGAAATTCATGAGTCGGTCCTTATTTCCGGTATCCTTATTTCCGGGTTCTTATTTCCGGCATCCTTTTTCCGGTATCCTTATTTCCGGCATCCTTCCGGAATCCTTATGTCCGGCATCCTTATTTCAGAATCCTTGTTGCCGATAATTTGGAATCCTTATTTCCGGTATCCTTCGATCCTTATTTCCGCCATCCTGAATTCCTAATCCTTAATTCCAGATTTCAGGATTCCTTAATTCGGGGAATCTTGAATTCGGGATCCTATTATGGAGATCTTGTTCTGGAATCCTGGTTGGGGAACTTCGTAGAATCCTTCGCAAATCTTGAAACAAGTTTGAATGGAAGATTTCGATAATCACAAACTAATTGAAAATCTTGAAGATTTGTCTTCGAAAACGCGGAGCTCCGAAATGATGCAAGAATCAATGAATATATGGGAAGAAGACCGTTGAATCGATCATTGAGTTTCGTAGAAATCTTGGAAATCGACAATGCCAGATTGGAGATTTTGCAAAAATCTCCATGATTCAACAGCAATCGCGCATATATTCGCAGAAATTCAGATATCGATTTGCTTTCTCGATTTTCAATGGAAGATTTGCGATAAATCATTTTCTTTTCGCAAATTCAAGGATATGTATATATATATATATATATATTTTTTATACGAACATACCGATTTCGGAAATGATGCGAGAATCAATGATGAAGCGCATGGAAACTAAGACCAAGTGATCGATTATGGGAATTCGTAGAAAATTCGGAAATCGATTCCGAGAATTCCGGTCATGTCTTTCCAAGGTTTATGGCAATCAACTGATACTCAAATATCACCTTCTTCTTTGTGGCAGAAAATTTCCATTCCTAAGATTTTGCGAATATTCCACAATTCAGCATCAAATCGTGATTGCATCCGCAGGATGTCTTCAGCTGTGTGATCGTTATGCCAAAGCGCTCATCAGTTCCTTGCCATAGGAGTGGCGGAACTTCCGCCTGGACGTCCTGAGCGAGTGGCAGGTTATCCGAAAACTCCATCCTGAGGCCCAGCTCGTGCCGGCCCGAGCATGAGCGGTTTCGTCGGCATCTGCCTTCTACCAGCGTGGCGCCCACACTCCACGCACTTCAAGACAAGAGGAGGATGCGGAGACCTTTGCCATCGTTGTCAGGCTCTGTCTTGCATGTTTCCGAATGATCAGGAGACTGCGCCACAAGATGCACCATGCACACTGCAAGGGCGCCGTGCCAAGGTTACCGCGGCCATGCGCTTCTTGCAGGAAGTCAGATCGTTTTAGTCTTGGCGCAGGACGTTGCGGAGGGTCCGGGGTTCGAGACACCGGAGAAGGTGGTCAAGGCCCTTGTTCTGCCTGCAGTGTCTTTCCCGCTGTTGCAGGCCATGGCAGCGCAGCCCAGCA